TTACACGAACCTCCCCTAAAAATGAAACTATCTTACACGGACCCTCCTTTCGATACGATCAATGCCAGTCAATGACAGTTTCTGCTGATCTCATCCACTTATTTAAGTTAAATGACCATAATACCATTATCCCTACCATATATTGTTTCTCTCTCCTTTCTCTGCCTCTTACCAATTCGCCTGGTCTATTGTCGTCGCTGATGTCTCTATTCATAGCCGGAGTAGTCATTACGGCAGCCGAACACTCTACTCGCCGCCCTCTTCCTTTCTCTCTTTACCCATCTTGCTTTATATTACTATATACACACAACAATCCACCAAAATACTTTTTTTCTCTCTCTCTCTCTCTCTCTCTCTTTATCTCATGGATGCTCTCTACAACACTCACATAAAGTTCCTAGCCTTCTATTTGCTTTTTCTCACTCCAACCTCCTCAGATCCACTTATTATTATTATTTTTTATTTTATTTTATTTTCTCTCTTTCTTACAGAGGCACGCCCTTCTCACGTGCTGAAACCCTCGGTGTCATCACCTGCCGAAAGCTTAAATACGATTGATTCCTCAGATTCAATGTTGACAATGACACTGGTTGTGTCCCCTGCGTGCTCTTGCTCAACTAACTCAATTCCCCACACTTCTCTCGTCGCAACCCATCAGATGTTCGATTAATTACCGATATGGCCGCCACTTTTGCCTCCTAGATCCAACTTGGCGTGGTCACTCGGGTTCACGGTCGGATCAACGCCTACAGAGGTACCCTTCAAATTACGGTTTCTGATGTTGTGATTGAGAAAGACCCGAATGCAGAGATATTGCATTGATTGGATTACATTAAGTTGGCTCGCAAGTGTTACGATGTTACACCTTGCAATAATTAGAACTACTACTGATTCTGTGATTGTTTATAGTTCATGAATTGTGCATTTTCAAATATTGTCCATTCCATAATTAAAATTTTGTTCTTGTTAGTTGTTACATTTCAATTAGTTATAATTGATTCTAAGGTCTATAAAATAGAATATGCAATTAAAATTTTGAACTAAACAAAGATTTGGGACCTTTCATCTAATTGGTGGTGGTTCGCTGGGGGGTGGTGGTCGAGGTGTGGTGGCAGCGGTTTTGAGGATAGAGAGCAAGGTAATTTATGTCTTATCACTGTTATGGTGGTGGTTTGTCGGAATTTATTGCCGGAGAGTATGGTGGTGGGTGGTGTTGATACAGAGAGAGCGGAATGGGTAATCCAGTCATTTACTATAATAACTTAAGGGCATTTTAGTAAATTAAACAGGACTGTTAATCCATTTAACGGTCCGTCACTACGAGGGGAGATTCGTGTAGGTTAGTTTCATTTTTAGGTGAGGTACGTGTAAATTCTCAAATAAGTGGATAGGTCCATGTAATTATGACAAATCATAGGAGAGATCAGTGTAAATTACCCATAATACTTTTACAAGATTGATGATATTATTTATAAAGTTATTAACTATTAAATTATAAAATTACTACTAATCACATATTGTGAAACCAAGTTAGTCCCTCCAATAATCATCATAATTTCAAAAGTTATTAAACCAAATTAATTACTGCAGCCGCTAGAATTTTATTGGCTTTGCGAATATCTTAATTAGCCTTTGGTTGAACGGCTGTTAGCCATAGGAAAGATTTTTTTTTTTTTTTTTAATTATTTTTTTTGGCGAGGCATGGCAAGTAACAGAGACGAAAATCCTAACTAAATTGGATTAGTTTTAGTTTTAGTTTTAGATTTAGTTTTATTTTTCTTCATTCATAATAAATAATATAATGGTAAGAAAATAAATAAAGAAGTTACTTAGAATATAAAAAAGGAAAATTTATTAATAAATTGAAGTAGGATTATAATGTTACGATTAAAAGTCAGCTTACGTACCGCTCACCAAGGATTATATATATGGGTTTTGTTTCTCCTTTTCCATAAGAGCTTCCTCTTCACTTTGAAGAGTTCTCTGCTTGTCGGAGTTTTTGTTGTGAGCTTGTCTCACTTTGAGTTTTGTTCTTTTCCTTCTTTGTATATTTAGTCTCTTTGGTTGTTCGTTGGGCTGGTATCCAGCTTGGTTGCTTGGCCTTCTGATTTAGGTAGCTTGTTGCTCTCTTGTTCTGGGTACTGCTACATGTGGTTGTTGTGTTAGATCTTGGTATCTGAAGCTTATTGGTTAAATTCTTGTTCTCTGTTATCTCTCCTCCTTACCTTTCTTTTAGATTTGGGTCTGTGTCTTGAGAATATTGTTTGTGGGTCTTATTGTGGGGAATCGATTTGTCTCTTTGGGTGATTGTGCTTTTGTTCTGTAACTGTTGTAGTATTTGTGATTCAATATTCATTGGAGCTTGTATTTACTTTGGGCATCTACAGTAAGGGTTGTGGGGTAGTGTGTTGCTTGTTTGATTGGCCAGCGGCGGTGTTTACCGGTGTTGAGCCCAAACCCTAGGTCTTCAAGAGGCGTCTGGAGTACGCTATTGACTGTGGTCAAAACGGATGGGTACTGTACCGGATTGGGCTAGTGCTAGGCCTGTCCCTTCATCCGGAATCGGGTCTTCTCCTTTAGGGGCCCATGTTTTGAATAGTGGTTATGGAGATATGGTTAACTCGGACTTGGATATTGGACCCCCTTCTCAAGCCCAGGTTTGTGTTACTTCTTTGTCTAATGATCTCAGAGATAGTCATGTTTTAGATTTAGCTCTAGTTGGCAATCTAGCTGATCAGGGGACGTCGACGGGTTGTCCGGTTCTCCATGCGCCTTACTCTTTGCCAGCCACTTTGGAATTCACTACTACATCAAATAATTTTCAAACTGGTCCAGTCCTTCATGCTAAATTGACCCCCTCGAGTCCCATAAAGATTCTGGTCTAGAATTGCCAAGGGGTGGGTAATCCTCAACAGTCCAACAACTCAAAAAGCTTATTAGGAATCATTCTCCATCCTTTGTGGCATTGTTGGAAACCAAGAATTCACTGAATTATATTACTAATTTGCAGCACTCTCTTGGTTATAGTTTTCATTGGAGTGTTGATCCAATAGGTAGAGCAGGGGGTTTGGCTATTTTTTGGAATGATGAATCTCTTTTTCAAATTATTGTTTGGACTAATTTTCAAATCACCATGGATTTTCAAAATCCACGTCAAGGGAATTAGTTCCTAACTATTTTGTATGCCAGTTCAGTGGATCAAATTAGGGCCAATCAATGGCATTATCTGAAGTCTAAAAAGACTTCTTGGGGAGATTGATGGCTTCTTTTGGGTGATTTTAATGAAATTTTAGCACTGGCTGAGAAGTATGGTGGACGTGCTAAACCAACGTGGGTTTTTTAGAATTTCAAGGAGTTATTGGAGGAATGCTCCTTGATATAGGTTATATTGGTTATCCTTACACTTGGTGTAATCACAGGAATGGTTTGGCAAATATTCAACAATGTCTCGATCCGGCGTTGGCTGGAGAAGCATGGAGAGGTTTGTTTCCGAATGCAAAACTCTCTCATTTAATGGTGGCAGGATCTGATTATTGTGCTCTCCTTCTTGATGTATTGCCCCGTTTCCAGTGTCCAGCGAAACAATTTTATTTTGATGCTAGATGGGTGCCCGATGAACAATGCCGAGATGTTATTCAGAGGGCATGGGATGTTAATATTCATAGGTCTCGCATGTTTCAATTGTCAAAAAAATTACAATTCTGTAAGAAAGCTCTTATTATATGGGCTCAAAGCAAATGATTTAATTCGCGAAGGAAGATTGTGGAGGCTGAACATAATCTAAAACATCTCAAGGAAGAGGTGTTTCCGTATTATCCAGACCAGGTCCAGATTGCAGAACAACAGTTACATGATTTTGGAAGGATGAGGAGCTTTATTGGTCTCAAAAATCTCGCGTCCAGTGGCTAAAATTAGGTGATCGGAATTCTAAATTTTTTCATGCTTCAACAGTGCGTCGTCGTCAGCGTAATTTCATTTCTGGATTGAGGACCTGGATGGGCATTGGATTGATCAAGAACCTATTGTGCAAAATATCTTTCTTCAATATTTCCGGTCTTTATCAGTCTCAAAACCCGATGGGTATTGCTCAATTCCTCCGGAAGATCCCTCAATGTGTTGCTGCTGATATGAACCAGCGTCTTCTTCGTCCTCCTACTGAAGATGAAATAAAGCACGCCGTGTTTTAGATGCAGCCTTGTAAAGCTCCTGGTCCAGATGGTATAACCCCTTTTTTTTTTCAAAGTTATTGGACGTTAATTAAAAATGATGTGGTTGGAGCTGTCACTAGTTTTATACATTCTGGAAGTTTGCTTAAATGTTTAAATCATACTAACCTGGTTCTCATACCTAAAACTGAGGCTCCAACACAAGTATCACATTTCAGGCCCATTACGTTATGCAATGTTTCTTACAAAATTATTGCTAAAGTATTAGCAAATCGATTGAAACCCATCCTTTATGGAATTATTCATGAGTCTTATTCATGAGTCTTAAAGCGCTTTTGTTTCGGGCCATCAAATAACTGATAATATTTTAGTCACTCATGAGCTTCTTCATTACTTGAAAAAGAAACAAAAAGGAATAAAAGCTTTTCTTGCCTTAAAACTTGATATAAGTAAGACGTGTAATCGTATTGAATGGGCTTTTTTGTAAGCTATTATGGAAAAACTTGGGTTTCATGCTCATTGGATTAACCTTATTATGTCTTGTGTTTCCACTGTATCAATGTCAATTATCTTTAATGGTAATCCAGTGGGTTTCTTTAAACCATCACGAGGTTTGCGACAAGGTGATCTTCTTTCTCCATACTTATTTATTCTTTGTGCTGAAGCATTATCATGTTCTTTGCGAGTTGTTTGTCATCATCATGTTATTTCCGGTATTAAAATTTGCAGACAGGCTCCGAAAATTTCCCACCTCTTTTTTGTAGATGACTTCATTATTTTTCTGTAAAGCTTCCAAGTCTGAAGTTACCTCTATAAAAAATAGTCTTCATCGATATGAGCAAGCCTCAGGTTAGCAAGTTAATTTTCAAAAATCTTCCATTTTATTTTCTAAAAATATGCCTTAGCAGGGAAAAAAAGAGATATGTAATATTCTGGTATTCGTTAAGAAGGTCTGAAGGCGAAATATCTAGGCATGCCAGCCATCATTGGGAGATCAAAATGGGATGTGTTTCACTTTGTCTATCAACGAGTCGTTAATCGTTTGGCAAGCTGGCAATCCCGCCTTCTTTCTTCAGCAGGCCGCAAGGTTTTTATCCAAGCTGTGTAAAGTGCCCTCCCGACCTATGTGATATCGTGTTTTAAACTTCTAAGGAAGCTTTATTCATCCTTAACTTTTATTGTCCGGCGGTTTTGGTGGGGTTCCCAGAATTTTTCCAAGAAACTATGTTGGGTGAAGTAGAACGATCTCTGTACAAGCAAGGATGTTGGTGGTTTGGGCTTCCGTGATTTTACAAGTTATAATGTAGCACTTCTCGCTAAACATGGATAGAATTTCCAGGTGCAGAAACAAGGGTTAGCTTTTCAGCTTTTCAAAGCTAAATATTTTAAGAATTGTTCTTTTCTCCAAGCTTCCTTCGGATCCAATCCATCTTGGGCATGGCAGAGCATTTGGTCCACACAGCGCCTTTTGAAAGAAGGAACTCATTGGATTGTTGGGAATGGCCAATCTATTGATATATGGTTTGACAAATGGATCCCAAATTTTCTTGGTACGCTTCAAAAGCCCTCATCCCCCGCTTGTCCCCAAAAAGTTTCTCAACTTATTGATCCTTCTTCTAACACTTGGAATATGCATGAGGTGGTAAAATGGATGCCTACTTCGATTGTTAATCATATCCATCACTGCCATTTTAGTTTCTTTAATATGGGAGATACACAAATTTGGGCCCCGGATCGAAAGGTATTTTTTCGGTTCGATCTGCGTATTATCTAGCTACTAAACTTTTGCATGGGAGTAATTTTGTGTCTTCTCCAACCGATGATGGCAATCAATTATTAGCTTCGTCTAATAAAGTATGGTGTGGAATTTGGTGATGCAAAGCAACAGAGAAAATTAAGATCTTTGTCTAGAAATGCTGCAAAAATGCTCTTTCAGTTTATGCTAATCTTGTTTCCCGAGGAATTGGCAAGGACTCTATATGTTGTCGCTGCGGTCTTGCAGAGGAAAATTTAATTCATATGTTATTTTTATGACCCTCTTCTGTTAGTGGTTGGAAATTGTCGCCATTTTGGTTTGATTTTACTTTGACTCAGCCTTCTTTTTTTCAAGAGTGGTGGGGGAGCCTAATTTCTTTGTGGGGCATTTCAGCAGAAGGCCTTAAAGCTCTGAGTTTTGTTGCTACTTTTTGTTAGCAAATTTGAAAAGCTCGAAACTCCGTTATTTTTAAGAATGAATGTTAGGATGATATTCGAATAGTTAATTCAGCCAGCTCTCTTTATTGGGAATTTTTGGAAGCTTCGGTGTCTGGACTTCCTCTCTCCATGGCTACTGTCACAGCGAATATCAATTCTTTTCCCTCAGCTTCTGGATGGACCCTCCCTCATGTTGGTGAGATCAAATGTAATGTGGATGCCTCGTTCTCTTCAACTTCCCTTTAGGGGGGTGGTAGGGCCGTGTTTCGTGATGAAAATAGGTTCATTATGTATGCAGTTGTGTTTTGTTCTTTCAAAGCTCAGAATGCTTCTTTGGCTGAAGCTGTGTGCCTTCGTAAGGCTCTGTTATGGGCTCATCATTTTTCATTTCCTCGCTATTGGTTTGAGACTGACTCTTTGATTGTTTGTAAGGCTGTTTTGGACGCTGATGTTTGTTCCGTGGAAATGGCGGCTGTGATTCATGATATTCAGTGTGGACTTCAGAGAGTTCTCTCGTTTCGACTTAGCCATGTGCGTAGACATGGCAATGAGGTAGCCCATATGATTACTAAACTTTCTCAAAGTTATAGTCACGAAGACATTATTCTTTCTCATATTCCATTGGATATCCTCCATCGTGCACAGCTTGACTTACAGTGATTTTTGAGGCTTTAGTTGTTGTTGTTGTTTGCCAGGAAAAAAAAAAAAAGAAAAAGAAAAAAGAAAAAGGATTATATATATTATAGGGTTAAGGGTATTAAACTCACCCTCAATTATAACCCGATTACAAGAAACTTCCTGAAGTAAGTAAAACCCTCTAAACTATCGTTTTGTTACACTTAGTCAAGAACCGTTAAGCAACCGTGAAGCAGCCGTTAACAGAAAATGAAAATTACCATTTAACCCTCGTGTTAAATATATATATATATATATATATATATATATATTATTTTATTTTATTTTTATTATTTTTTTGAATAGGCTGATGTAACAATTGTAATCTTGTGTCCAATGAAAATTGCCCAGAATTATTTTATTGAAGTGGACAAAAACAATTCTCCATCAATAAGAGAATGACAACTCAATTAGTGGAGAATTATATATATATATATATATATATATATATATATATAAAATAGTAATTGTATTTCTTCTCTATCGGCAGCCTCCACCACCCTCCTCTCCGTGTCCATCTCGTAGCATTTGTTGGGGCCAACAAGAAATTGAAGGAGATGAGAGGAAATTGTGAAGTTATAACATCAAAATGGGTTCCAATTTAAACAGGTTGTATACTGGGGTTGATCGGATTTGGTGCTGGGTCTCTCTCCATTGAGAGCATCATGTGCTAAGAACAAACCCAATAAATTGCAGGCGAGGACTTGGTCTTGAGTTTGGATATATATATATATATATATATATATATATATATATATATCGCATTGTACAGAGAACCCCCAAATTCGAAACCCTAATTTTCAGTCTTAGCAAATCCTCTCATTCGCCATTGATTTTCAACAAATCCTTCTCATTTGCTTTCAAATCTCCGTATTCAGGTGACTCGATCTCAAATCTCCATATCCAGTTCAGTTCCATTGCTCATCGGTAAGCTCACCGGCATCTTCCAAGTTCATCGCCACCATTGTCGTAATTCATTGAAGCTTCACGACTCATACCGTCGTTACCGCCACCGTTCTAATCCGCGACCATCGTTAAGAACAAAAGTCGCCGTCCGGTGGGTTCATCCTTGCTTGCCGCCGCTGTTTCAGTTCAACTCACTGCCGTCTGCCCCTGTGGTTCAGCGTCGCCATCGCGAACAGTCATTGTGTTCTCCGGTAAGCTCGCCGTCACCGAGCACCTCGAGAAACTTTTGGTTTCAGAGCATAAGAATGGCGTAGAGAGACAGAAGAGTCCAGTGGTCTCAACTGCCAGAAGATCTCCTGTCAGTGATGATAGAAAAACATCTCAACACTCGCATCGACAATCTCCGATTGCGCTCCGTCTGTCGTTCATGGCGTTCCTCAATTCCACTCTATAACAAACCCCTTCCTCCTCGTCCTCCTGTGCCTCTCCGATTTAGAAACTGCAAAGGCGTCGACGGTTACTTCTCTCCCATCAAAAGCACCATCTACCTCCTCCAACCGCCCAATTAACAAAATCCCACACCAAATTCCATTCCCTGGTTGGTTAGGGTTGAAGAAATTGAAATTGGCAAATTTCGTGCCCTTCATCCTCTCTCTGGAACTAAAATGTCCAGAAAGTTTCCTAAACAACTTAATTTGCTCAACTTTCGTATCACCAAAATAGGTAAATCCTATCGTCTTTGTTTTAATATTGATCCAAGTGAGGAATTGGAGGAAGATGAACCCTACTATTCTTTTTATTCTTCTTCTAGTGATGATGATTCTCCACTTTTTGAGAAAGTGGTTGTGTCCTCGAGTCCATGGTCTGGTGTTGATGATCAGGTGGTCATGGCTATCGAAGATGGAAAGTTGTGGTTTTTCAAGTTGGGAGATAAGGAATGGACCAGAATTGCTGGTTGGGAGCAGTCTCAATATTCTTACCATGACTTGGTGCATCACAAGGGACAGTTTTATGCAGTTGGGTGTAGAGGAATGACTCTAGTGATTGGTCCAGACTTGAACCCTAAGCCAATTGCATCGTTTGGGCCTCATTATGGCTGTGATGAAAGACTACGTTTGGTGAAGTCGTGTGGTGATTTGTTTTTGATTGATAAGGGAAAAAATATTTTTACATACCAATATGAAGATGAGATATGGGATCCCATTGAGTCGTAAGCTAGAGATGATCCTCTTAACAAGGTTTATTTGAAAGTTTTTAAGTTGAATGAGACGGAAAAGAAATGGGAGCAGATTCTAAGTTTGGGTGATCGAGTGCTGTTTGCTTTTGATGCCTGCTCCTATTCTGTTTCGGCTCCAGATTTCTCTGGTTTGAAAGGGGATTGCATTTACTTTTCTGAACCTTTGTTTGCTGAGTATGAGGGCACTGGCGTTTTCAGCTTTGTGGATAACAAGTGCAGGCCTCTAGCTTATTTTCCGGACCATTCACAGATCTTTTGGCCACCGCCCCCTTGGCTTAAGCCAACAGCATGTGCCATCAAGAAATGAATGTCAAGTCATTCTCAATATCTAAGTTTAGACATGGTGAAATTGAAGAAAAATTCTTTTGATGTTTCCTTTGGGGATTTTGATTTAAATTATCTGACTTTAATGTCTGAACCATTTTTCTCGACAATTACAATTACAAGACCCCCATTCCACGGTCCCCAAACATGACATGAAATGAATGTTATCATTATAATTTATGTGCAGAATTTTTCTCTAATGGTGAATGTGCACACCTATGTTCATTATATGTCATATTCAGAATAGTAATTGTTGGGGAAGAAATTCGAGCGGTCCGGAACGACTCTCCAAAACAAAAACAGCTATCAACTCAACGAGGTTCAGGAGACGGCTATCAAGTCAACGAGGTTCAAGAGAGAAAAAGAAGTTCGTAGCCAAGTCAAAGAAGGTTTTTCTCATACCTCATTTAATGGTCAGTTGAGTGTATTCCGACTGCAGCGATTTGATTTATCATTAATAACGGCTTTAATTATCTTCGTCAACTGAATGTTTTCATTCTTATAGTTCTTTCTAATCAATTTCAACTTTCATGACTTAGGAAGTTGTGGTCCTTTTAAGAGGATAGGAAATTCTATATTCATACATATAATGTTTTTCAAGGGGTTAATATATGATAGTCAAATGGAACAACAGAGTACAAAAAAAATAAAAATCCTTTTCTCATATTTCTTGCTTCAAAATTCATTACAAGTATCGTCGATCAGTTGTGTACTCTCTTTTCCAAACCATTGGCAGGTCTTTTGGTCACCCCTAGCTTGGCTTAACCCAAGATCATGTGCCATGAAGCAATGAATCTTTTCCTTTTCTAATGCTTGCACTTGATTAAATAAGTGGCTGAGAGGTAGGGCTGCAAGTTGGGTTGGCCCAACCTAGCCCAGTCCCAACCTAACCTCAACCCAAATCAGGTTGGGTTGGGCCAACCCGAATTATATTCAACGTAGGTTATGATTATAACCCAGCCCGAATATTTTTGGATGGGTTGGGTCGGGTTGACGGGTTGAAAACTTTTTTTTTTTTTTTTTACATGGGTTATCTATCTGCAACAATCAAAGGTTCAAAACCCATATCGGCATATCATTTCAGATTGTTTAAAAAATCAAAAACCAGTTCTTTCTCTGCAACAACTGCAAACTACAAAAACTTTAAAGCTCATATATTTCAGTTTCATCTATCTGCAACAATCAAAAGTTCAAAACCCATATCGGCATATCATTTTAGATTGTTCAAAAAATCAAAAACCAGATCTTTCGGTTTCCATCGCCCGCTGTTCCAGATCAAGTTCGCCGTTCGCCGTCGGCAAAGCTTCAACCGCTGTCTCTCAACTCTCAAGCTTGCCCCCCTCTCTCTCTCTCCAACTACTACCTTGAATGTATGGGGACGGTATACAGAGAAAGAGAGAGAGAAAGAAGAGAGAGGAAAGAGAACGAAGGAAAAAAAAAGAAAATTTTTTTTTTTTATTTTTTTATTTTTGGGTTTTGAACCCGAGCCCAACCCGAATATGTCTAGGTTTTGACAAAACCCAACCCGAACATGAACCCGATTTGTAAACTTAAAGTCCAAATTTCAAATTTTCGGGTTGGGCTGGGTTAGCCCGCCCAAGTTGCAACCATACTGAGAGGAAAAGAAAGGTAGCGATTGGGCCGGAAACTTTTTTTTCAAAAAATTGGAGAGAAATGGAAGGATTTGGAAGGAGAAGGAGGGGCTCACTAAACCATGCATAGTGATTTTCTTGTCCTTCCAAAAATGGAGGAAAAGGATAGGAGAGGTTCCTAAATACTCGTTTTGACATTTTTGTGTAAATCTCTATGAAAAAATTTCTCTGATTTGTCCTTTGTACCATGTTTAGATGACTATACTTAGAACACATGGAAGAGCATTAATTATATTATTTGATTAAATGTCGCATAAAATCAAATAAATGCCATTATATTAGAGCATTATATTAATTGTATCTCAATTATAATTTTTTTTTTTGGGTATGTTTAGGATTCATGCTTAAAACCTTTTTCCCGTTTGAGGTACACATTTTGAAGTGGGTCGTCTCCCTCAACCAAGATGTGCACGTAGAATAAGAGTCTGGCAGCATTCAAGTTAAAGTGACTTATCAACTCAATTGCATTAAACTTCTTCTTACTTTTATACTTTTTCCCCTAATTATTATTGTTTAACTTAATAATTAATTTTTCCTTAACATTTTTTTTTTTTTACTTAATTGTAGGTTTCACTAATAAAGATTAATGAATGCATTATAATTGAAGGCTAAATGCAAAAAAAAAAAATAATAAATAAATAAAAAAAAGGGAAAATCTGTAACTAACCCCCTGAACTATTAAAAATGCAAAAAAACCCTCTGGACTATGCAAAAAAGTTGCAGATCACCCCATCCGGCCAAAGTACGGTGAGAATTAGCCATTAAAATTTATGGAATTATTTTAAAGACCATATTGCCCTTAGAAGCGTGAAAGGACAAGAGTGCCCTTGCCAAACGTGGCTTTCCCGAAAAAACAAACATGGTTTTTACTTTCCGAAAAAACGGCTTTTGCTTTTTGAAAAAAAAAAAAAAAAAAAAGCCAAACATAACTTCAACCAAATTTCCCCAAATCAGGAACTCAGCAACTGGTTGGGTTTTTTACTGCCGACGAACCCATATATCAACAACTAGGAGGCCATCACCGTCTGCGCCGTCAATAACACTAGGATGTCAGATCTACTCTCACCATCTGCCGCCATCGACAACATCGGGTTACAAGGCCGGTATGATTGTTGCTCGCCGGACTGAACTGGGTTTGGTCGAAGAGGACGGTGGAGTTACGACAAGAGTTAGCGACGTAGAAGGAGTCACCATCGTCGGAGCTTCCTGTCGTGTTGCCTTGCCATCATCAGTTTTCTGATCGACGAGGTACAGCCACGGTCGACACGAGTTCTTATCACAACCACCGTCCTCCGTTGCGAGCTTCGTATTCAGCAATCAATTCCTTTATGGGTACAAATTGAAGCAAAAATCGCTGATTTAAAAGCTCGATTCGGAGCTTCAATGGTTGAAAGGAATGCATTTGCAATTATAGATTGTGGAGGGAAAAAAACTCCCTCCAATAAGAAGCGTACACGTCATCACTACACATATCTACATTCCAAAGACATATGAGGCCCGTCATGCTCAAGCCCAAATTGAGTGTATTTTTAGCCCAAGACCATTGTTATTTGTCTTCCAACCTCCATCAAGGCCGAATCAAGAGGTCATCAGCCTAACTTGTTAATATTTAACATCCGGTCCGTTACTCAAGCCCAGCTGGATCAAAGTATGTTCAGCCCAGTTATTCAAGAATGCACAAGTCTTACCAGTTGAAGGATTTACCGTAGAAGGAAAATTCTGAGATAGGAAGTTCTGTACAAGGCAAGTTCTATGTATGGAAAATTAGACAATGGAAAGAACTCTATTAGTAAAGAATGTTTATATAGAAAGAATTGGAGGACAAGTAAGGCGAGTCCTACCATAATTTTACAATCTTTTGTATATAAATAGAGGCTTAGACCTCCAATAAAGGGATCAAGCAATTCTATGCTTCGACATATATTGTTCTTGTTTATTTTTACTATTGATTGAGTGAGTTGTTTTATTTTTCTTAATCATTATTGGTTGAGCAAAATTTTGCACCTACACTTTGGCGCCGTCTGTGGGAACCGTATAAAAATATACTCCCACTTGTTCTTCAAATCAAATCCTTAGTCGTATCTGGAATGTCAAACGGAGAGTCAGTAATGAATCAACAGATAGAATTGATGCAAAAGATGCGAGAGGAGTTCTTGCACCAATTTGAGACACTCCGGTAAGCAAACGATACGAGTATCGCCCAGATAGCTGCGCTTCAACAGCAAACTCATATGCTGCACACGGCAATGGCCAAGCTAACGCCACAACCACCACCAGGCGATGCTGCAGCACCACCCCCCACCCAGAATTTACCTCCAGTTCATGAGCCTCCGGCCAATGGGACACCAGCCAACGGGGCTCGACTTAATGAGGTTCAGCAACAGCAAGGGACAAGGTCCGAGGCGGTTGCTTCGGATAATCTCCCGCGTCGCACACAGGACGAACAGGCTGAGTCCAGCCATAGGCTTACGGTATGGTCCAATGGCGTTCCAGATGGCGCACGCGTACAAGATGCCTTCGACGAAAAGAAGCTATTAAGAGTTCAGACCCCAGCCGAGATGGCTAGAGAGCACAAGAACTCCTTGGTCAAGACCCCCTTTACTGACGATGTGTACCTTGTGGAGAGACCAAGGAAGTTCACTATGCCATCTTTCACCCAGTTCGATGGGGCAGGAGACCCCTCTCGGCATCTTAATCATTATGCGCAAAAGATGGCACTGGACGATCATAACGATCCGTGGATGTGTAAGGTTTTTCCTACCAGTTTAACCGGAGCAGCGTTAGAATGGTTCAGGAATAGGCCACACAAGTCTATCCCTGATTATGAGACCTTGTGCACTATGTTCTTAGCCCAGTATTGCGGAAATAAGAAGCAGAAGAAAAATATCACCAGCCTTTTCACCATAAGGCAAAAGAAGGGAGAAACTCTGCAAGATTTATTATCCAGGTTTAACATGGAAGCCTCGGAGATAGCAGATTGCCACCTTGCCACGGCAATCGAAACATTTAAGTTGGCAATGATCCAGGGAACCAAGTTTCACACATCCTTGATCAAATATTCCCCCCCGGATATGCAGACTTTGAACGCTAGGGCACAAATCTACATTCGGTTGGAGGAAAACGTAGCCCACCGTGCACAGCACGCTACCCTCGTCACAGTGGAAAACAAGTCTCGAGAGAAAGCTGCAAGCACAAGGATGCAGAAGGTTCCTCATGCTACCACACAAGTCACCCAAGCGCCTGAGAAGAGGCAAAGGACAGAGGACAGGCTTACCCCTCTCCGTACTACCTTAGCGCGCCTATTCCAAGAGAATAAGACGAGGTTCGCAAC